GCTTATGCTTTGTGTAGTTTGAGATTACTCAAGTTCAAAACTGAACTGCAAACATTTCCCATCTATGTAGTAAGTATTGAATTTGTCTCACCAGCAATTTAAGAGCTAGAATTCTCTCAGCATTTGCTTGGGCACCTCTGTCCTAAACGGTGAACAGAATCCACAGCAACTTCACGACGAACGATCAAGTTCTCTGCCATGGTACGATTAGCGTGAGAATTAAATCTTGAACAGTCATTCAAAAGACGCATAACTGTTTCTAGAAGTTCAGTTACTGGGGGAACTGCAGTAACAAACATTAAATAGCAGACAAACCAGGACAAGCTATTTCACCACTGCCGCCATATTGACGATGTTTAGTTTAAGTAATTTTCATTGCTATCATACACGAACAGCCATTCATTTAAAAAGGCACATTTCGTGCTGGCATATACAACCCAAATTTACGAGACCCGCATATACGCGCATTTTAGCACGCGTATATATGGGTCCTTGTAGGACGAGTATATTTAGGCATTTATTTCGCATATCCCCGCGCTTGAATTTACCCAAATATGTGGCCCTTTAAAAATGCGTATATACACGATCTAAACGGTCGTATATATGGACTTAAAGCCCATGCGTAACGTATGTAAACACGTATACACGGCAGAAAAACCCGGGTATACCCTGTCGTAATTTTGAAACGAATGGCCAACCATAAATTAGTAGTTACAATATTAAAAAACATTGATTAACCAATATTTAACAATTATTGTGCAAGGTTGAGCAAAATATTGTTATCTGGGAGGCATTGACAAATCACTATATTTTGCGATAGCCAAAAATAGTTTTACCATTTGATCACCAAGTTTGTTTTTATATTTAAATCACTCTCTATCAGCTCAGGGTAGCGATCTGCCATTTTTCACGCAAGAGCATGGTTACGAATACGCACAAGCAGAATATTATTTGCAGCAAAGCGCATTAGATGGTACTATACACGAGCAGACCATTATTTGTTGGCAGTTACTTCCACGTCACATGTTTGTCTGTCGGCCATTAAAAAGGAAGGAAAAAATGCATCGAATGGTAATAATTTTTATTGGTAATGCTAGTCACTAGTTTAGGAACTAGTTTTGATTGTTTGATTGTTTTCAGACTATCCCTGGGAAAAGTAAATGAGTTTGGAATTTTTGAGCCAATCTTTGAGCCTGAGCCAGACAGTGGCAATGGTACCTCTACAGGTATGTCAACAAATCCAGTCTTTTAGTTTGGAACCTAGCGATACCTCCCCTAATAGAATGTTGAACTAATCACAGTGGAATCCAGCTGTCTGGAATTCTCTAGGGTAATGCACAATAGGTGAGGTTACAGCGGGGAACCTCAGCTGTTAGTATTCAAGAAGGGCATCTAAGAAGCAATTTCCTCAATAATAATGACCAGCATTATAGTTATGCAATTAATAATATACATGAGAAAATTACTTGATTCTGATTGGCTGAGAACAGTACAGTTCAAGTGTAACACCAATGCAAGTGTAAAACCAGGGCAAATTATACGTCAAAATTCTTGATTATGATTGGTTGAAAGTCAATAGGAAATTTTCTAAGCCAATGATATCCCGTAAAATGATGACAAAAATTTTGTGTGGAAACTTTGAAAAACGTTTTCTCGCATGTGAAAAAATGGCTACATTAAATCAAGAAAGGTTTACTCTGGCCACTGACGATACAATAGAGAAGACCTGCAAAATGGTGCGAAAAAATATCAACACCAGCTAAAGAACGTCGCTTTGGTTAAGTGAGTGGAAGACGTGTGCGAAGGAAAGAGCACAGCTCTGGAAATCGAGGAACACGAACCAGCTGAATAGCCTGCGAGCAGGCTCACATTTAAGTCACATGCACGAGTGGCGAAGAGCAAAGCAATCTGGCAGGAAGGAGTCTGCAGCAGGAAATAACAGCTGAAAATATGTTAATGAATCAAGACGTACTTGTCGTGTTGCTGACTGCACATGGGAAGGGTTAAATATTACAAACGTACGTGATTGCAAGCGGGCAACAAAACAATACGAAGGCGTTTGCCCGTTTACCAGCATCGTCAAAGACCAGATTGCAAAAAAGAAAAACTCACTTGGAATCAAGTGTGTGTCCTTAGTAGACATAAACTTTGACAGTTTTTCTTCGGCAAAACTTTATCAACAACGGATATCGCGCCTACATGTTGTTATGAAAAAGATTTACAATTTTCCCGAGAAATCTGAGCTGCCAAAGTTCATACTTCCGGTGAAAATTAATTGATTTTTCTGTGGTTTCCGGGATGGAAATAAAAAATTTGCAGATATCAGAGCGGGCTCACTTTCTTGTCTCGCGGCTTCGCCGCTCGATTTCACACTCGTTGCGATGCTGCTCGCTCTTGTGCTCCAACGTGAGCCTGCTCGTAGGCTACCAGCTGAACTGAACAGATTACTCGAGAAATTCTACGCCGAAGTGAAGAACAAAAATGGCCAAGATTATGGGCC